CTCCTAGGACTTCAGTTGTAGAAGTGTGCATCTTGGGTATGTGGGCATGTGTGTGTCCATATTATGTATACATGTTCTATCCTTTATGCATGCGGTGTGTGTGTGTGTCTGAGTCTGTGACTCCCTCCTGGGACTTTAGTGACTAAGATGCGTTCTGTGTATGTATTTGTACATTTCTGTGTGTGTGCATGCCTATTCCTGTATTCTATATATCTGTCTTGTGGGAGTCTGAGCATGTGTTTGGTCATATGTGTGTTGACATGTTCTGTCCTGTATGTATGAGTGCGGATGTTGTGTGCATATGTTTCTTCGTAATTGTGTAGGTGTGTGTCCAAGACTGTCTACTGGGATTTTAATAATAGAAGTATGCACCTCTCTGTGTGTATATTGGTGCATATGTGACACTTTGTGCTTCTGTGTGTGTGTGTTGGTGACTGTCTCTTAGAACTCCAGTGATAGAAGTATGTGTCTGTGTATGTTTCTGCATCTCTGTGTCATTTTGTGTGTGTGTGTGTATTTATGTCAATTCCTAGAGTGAGGCCCCAGCCTCCTGAAGCGTTCTCTTTGAGACTCATAGAGGACTAGAGACCTTAGTTTTTATATGCCCCGAGTTAATGGCAAAGGAGTGCAGCTCCTTTGGGGTGTGCTGGAATTTTTGTCTCTGGTTGATCACTGATCTTGCTTTCTTACCTCACCTCCATATCATCCTTACCCCTTTCCACATCTTCACCTCTCCACTTGGCCCCACCACTCTGCAAACCCTGATTCTCCCATCCCACCCATTCCTTCTCCCTCCCCCTTCTTCCTTACCCATCTCTACAACTTCCATGTCTGCTCCCACCCCCTCTCCCTCAGTCCTGGTCGCAGAGGTCATCAAGTTTTACTTCCCCAAGATGGTGGAGATGCACAATTATGTTCCTGCTAACTCTCTCCAGCAGAAGCTAAGCAACTGGGGTCACCTGAACAGGTAGCAGAATACCTGGGCACACTAGTGGGATCTCCAGCCCCTACACTGGGATCCCAGGAAGGGCTGCCCAGCCCCTCCACCTCCTGTGGTCTCCACAGTCCAGGCTGGTGGCTGGCTGGGAAGGGACAATGCAGACAGAACCTGTCTGGTAACAAAATCAAGGGACTCTTCTTTTGGGGAGGTGACAAGGACCCTCGAGACATATAAACACTGGGCTCAGGTTGGGTGCCTTTCCATTCTCCCAGGGCTGTGCACTGAAGGGCTGCAACTGCTGCACCCCTTTCCATCACCCAACCCTTCACTTCATCCCCCCCAGGAGCCAGTCCACCATCCCTGTGTCTGCCCCCCAGGAAGGTGCTGAACAAATTGAGCTTCTCTGTACCAGATGACGTGATGCGCAAGATTGCACAGTGTGCCCCAGGCATGGTGGAGCTGGTGCTCATTCCACTGAGGCAGTGCCTGGAGGAGCAGCAGAGGCGCAGGAAGCAGGGCACCAGCTCCTTACAGGTGCCACCCCATTCAAGTTTCTTTCACTGCTCTGGGGGAGTTTCCCAGGCAGCAGAACGCTCTGCCTCAGCAATAAGTGTGGGAGAAGGGTGCCTGGCTAAAGGGAGCCTGGCTGGGGGGGGAGGTGCTCTTTGGGGGTGGGCAGCCTGAGCTCACAGCAGACCCCGGGGTTCTTTCAGGAGCTGGCTCCCCAGGATGGCACTGACTACATAGATGTGGGTAAAGTGGCCTTTACTTTTCTTCCCTCCCAGGAGGAGCTTTCCTCCTGTCCTTCCTTCCTGTGGGGGAAGGGGTGGGGGTGTGGGGAGGTGGAAGACAGGAAAACAGGGCTCCATCAGGATTACTCCTACACTTGCCTTGTCTCAGGTTTGTCCCAGAAGGCCCGAGGGGAAGGTGCTCCAGACCCCCAGGGAGGGGGGCAGCTCAGGTAAGGAAACTGGGAGCTCCTGACCTCACCAAGCCTGGTAATCTCCCTATGCACAGGCTAGGAGGTGAGGGTGAGGGTTGCACCTGGAAAGGTAGGGAAGTCAGGGATGGGTGGGGGAGAGAAGGCCTGGTCGAGGGACACTGGAAGGGTGAGGGTGGGGCCCAAGATCCAAGCCTGGGATAAGCTGCTTCTCACCCCAGGGTGGGCCAGCTGCCTGTGCCCCGGCCTCTGGGGTATAGCCAGGCGCTGCAGGGCGACCGAAGCTTCGTCCTCCAGATTGCTGAAAAGGAACAGGAGCTGTTGGCCTCGCAGGAGACTGTGCAGGTGAGGGCGCACTGGGAAGGCACTGGGGGATTGGGGCCTGGAAACACAGGGGCGGGGGCAGCAGGCCGCAGGGCTTGAACTCTGTGGGGCTCCTCCCAGGTCCTGCAGATGAAGGTGAGACGCTTGGAGCACCTGCTCCAGCTCAAGAACATGTGTATCGAAGACCTCTCCCAGCGGCTCCAGCAGGCGGAGCGTAAGCAGCGGTGAGCCAGCGGCTCCAATGAGCCTCCTGGGACAAGAGCGCCTCCCCTCTCTTGGGGTGTGAGTGAGCATGGGGGGCGGTGGGACAGGAACCCTCCAAGCTGAGCCCCATGACTGAGCCCCCTCCTTCCACTCCATCCGGGTCAGGAGAATGGACTGCTTTCCAGAACCTAGAAGCCACATGCAGAGACCTGGCATGCACCTCGAAGCAGTGCCTGACACCAGAGGGGGTTCTGCCTTGGTGCTCCCTGTGCTGGGCCTTGGGGGGTGGTCCCCCAGCTCGGTCCACAACCCTAGAACCCGGTCCCCGCCCAGCTCTGATGACAGCAGCGTCTCCATCCAGGCTAGTCTCTGTACCCTGGGCCAAAGGGGAAGCTGCCCCAGTCAGCTGAGGGGCTTCCTTGCCCCTCCTGGGCACTCACCTGGGACCCAACTGGAGGCTGGAAAGTGCAACAGCTGAAGGGGTGAGGAGTGAGCTCAGCCAGGAGTGGGGAAGACATGGGCTGTGCTTGTTCCAATTGCCCTACCCTCACAGAGGGTATGTTAAGAATGTCTGGGTTGCCCCCATTAAAGGTATGCTCTCCTTCCTGTGCCTGCCTTCTGTTCTCTGAGGGCAGTGATTTCCTGTCCCCCTTGTGCTACGCCCCACCCCTTAAGTGAAAGAGCCTTGTAGGCCCAGAGTGGGTCTCAACTCGTGGGTAGCTGGGCCCTGAAGTGGCCACTGCTTGGTAGGTTGATGATACCACCAGGGGTTAGGTCTTGTGCACTAGGACAGCCTGACTTCTAACTCTGGCCTTAGACTGACCCCCAAACCTATCCTCACAGTGTCCTCCAACCCTGTCCAAACCCAACCACAAACCCAGGCTTCAGATTCTCACCAAATGTAGCCACATAGTCACCCTCAACCCTGCTTATGGACTCACCCCTAAACCTGTCCTCTGTATGACTCCCAACCCTGCCCACAGACTGACCCCAAGTTCTGTGGACCAAGGCCAAGCTTGACTCCCAACCCTGACCAAGATACCATGGCCTTTGGTGCCAGGCTGGAATTAAGTCCATGTTGTTAGATCTTCTGATATTTCAAAAGAGGAACAAGAAGAAGCAGAGGAGGAGGAATAGGACGAAGAATTTTTTAAAGCCCCATGTGGACTAAACAGAATATATCTATAGCTTACTCTGGGCGCACTGTCTGCCACTTTTAGAGCTTGAGGAATAGAATAGACATGTGAATACAACTGTGGGGGAGGCATACCGGGGCACATGGAATGGTGGGTTGGGTTATAAGAAAGCATCTGGCAAGAGTGGATGGGCTGGGATCAGAATGTAGAAATCTCCCAATGACCATGCTGGAGGACAGCATCTCAAACGTTAGAGTGTGAACGCATCACCCAAAATGATGCTAAAAAGTTTGAGGCTCTCCTGGAGACAGTCCCAGAGCACAGAGCGCTTTGGAACAGGGGAGGATTCAATGGTAACAATAGCTCATGAAGAGAGACCAGAAGATAGGTTAGGGGCCACAGGGATCCAGCGGAGGGTAGGAGCCTTGGGGGCTCCCCAAAGGCAGTGACCCCGCTCTTTCTGAAAGGAAGCTGGCCTTAAGCCGCCCATACCATCTCTCTCCTAGTTACGTTGGAAGAAGGGGCCGTTCCCCGCGGGTACTTTAGGGACCCTGTTCCAGCCAGCGAAATCGGGAGGGGGTGTTGTTCAAGGACCTGCAGGCGCAGCAGCGGCTAGAACCCTTAAAGATCCGAGGGCTACGTTTCTGCTCCCAGACTCTGTGCAGGCGCCCACATCCCACCCCGGGGCGCTGAACTAGGCACATCCCCCTGCCATTGCGACCGCCTCCGTGGAGATCGAGAGCAGAGGCTGCGGTCCCCGGCGGCTCCTGCACAAGTTCTCCCACCCCCCACCCCGCGAGCCTTCTTTGTTCTGATTCTTATCCGGGCCGGCAGGGCACCCAGGACGCGTCTCAGTTCCTCACGGGAGCGCTTCCTCCGAGGCAGGGGGATGGGACGGAAGGGGAAGATGCCGAAACCCGGGGATCGCAGAGCGGGAAGAATGGAGGGTTCCTCCGCTCCTGGACAGGACCTAGCGATGCCCGTATCGACTGCCAATGCGGGCTTGGAAGCCTCGGAAGAAAGGTGACTTTCAGGTGCCCCACCTAGCTCTGAGCCCCACCTTACGGCCGGTCAAGGGGACAGAGCTCAGGGGACGCCCCTTCCAGGTTGGGCGGAGACAGGAGGTGCAAACCCCCAGGCTGAAAGTAAACACGCGTAGGGCCTATTAAAGGCGCTTCTACCTTCTCTCGCTTCTGCGGTATCCTGCCGCCTGGCCACAGAGAGCGCCCTGGCTGACTTCATCGCGAGAACTTGCCGGGCCCCTGGGCGTGGGCTCGCACGGCGCAGCCGCAGGGGCTCCTGCAGGTGACGCAGAGGCGCAACGCCCGTTGGCGGTTCTTTGGGGCCCGCTTATTGGTCCGAAGTGCCCTCGCCCCACCCCTTCGGTCGACCAATGGGCGGAGGTGGGGGGTGTGCCCTTGAGGCGAGCTGTCGCGGCGCGGGGCTCTCTCCTCCGGTTCTGCGCTGAGACCCCCGCTGCTTCCGCCACCGCCACGGCTGCCGCCACCGCCACAGCTGCCGCCGCCGCTGTCGCGGTCGTCCCTGCCCGTCCTGGCTTCGGGGTGCTCCCCGCACGGTGAGACTGCTCTTCCTTCCGCCACCCCCCGGTTCCGCCCCGCTCGCGGAGATCCCCTCCCAGCGGAGCCGCTGTTCTGGGTAGTCGGTGCCTGCGACCCCATCCGGCTGGGGCTGTCGGGCCCGGGACAGGGTTCCGCTGTCTGGCCCGGAACGGGGAGGGCTCCCTGGCATCTGAGCTGGGGAGATGTCAGGCCGTAGGTCCGCAGGTGACCGTTAGGTGGTAGAGCTGGAGTGCTTTCCACGGGGCGCTGTCGGGGGCACGTGTGACACAGTGAGGGCGGGGGCCAAATGGGGTCAGCGCCGTCAGCAGCTCCGCGCCCGCCCTCCACTGTCATCGCCTCAATGTGTGACCTTGGACGAGTAGCCTCTGAACCTCGCGTGGCTCGGCACCTTCAGGGAGGAGGGCTGTGATGTCGGAAATTACGGGCTCCCGAGACTACAGCGTCAGCAGAGATGAGGGTGGGAACGGCACAGGATTATGAGGAACAGAGCCGACGCCTCGCAGCCCGGGAGGAGTGTGATGGGGGGGGCGTCCAGACTCCTCTGTCCCCTTAGAAGATGAGGATGGGGTGGGGATGGGGGCGCCACACCCACGGGGATGGAGGCGGGAGAGGGTACAGATTCCTATACCCAGGCCCCTGATGTCTCTGGGAGCTTGGCCACCACCTCCCCTTTGTCACAGAGCAGGAAAGGTTCGTTTAGGTTCTGGACCAGTGTTCCTGTTAGTGAGCAGGAACCCTGGTGGACTAAGAAGGGTGGGCTTGGGTTGCCTTTCCTCTTGAACCTTGGCCTTGGGAAGTGTGGGTAGGGCGTTTCTCTGCTCAGGGAGTTGAAGAAGGTCAGAGGCAGCTGTCACCCGCTGGACCTGGCCTGGCCTCTACTAATTGGGGCCTGGGTGGGGCAGGCAGTCTGGAGGCTAGAGGGGTCTGAGCAACCTCTAGCTGGGGGTCTGAGAGGTTGTGGGGAGATGCTGGGGAGAGGAGGGCAGCACTTCTTGGGGAGAAAGGAGGGTGGGAGATGGTGGGGAGTCCCTTCCTCAGTTCACCCCTGTTCCACCCATTCTTTTTTTTAATTGATTAATTAATTAATTTATGGCTGCCTTGGGTCTTCGTTGCTGTGCGTGGGCTTTCTCTAGTTGCGGTGAGTGGGGGCTACTCTGTCGTTGCGGTGTGCGGGCTTCTCATTGCCATGGCTTCTCTTGTTGTGGAGCACCGGCTCTAGGTGTGCGGGCTTCAGTAGTTGTGGCTCACTGGCTCTAGAGTGCAGGCTCAGTAGTTGTGGTGCACGGGCTTAATTGCTCTGCGGCATGTGGGATCTTCCCCGACCAGGGCTCGAACCCGTGTCCCCTGCATTGGCAGGTGGATTCTTAACCATTGGACCACCAGGGAAGCCCTCCACCCGTTTTTAAGAGAGAGAACACCCATACTTATCCTTGTAACTTTGGCCTGCTGGAGGGAGGAGAAAAATGGGGTCATATCCAGTCTGAGTTGATGTAAAACTGTCACAACCACTCCTGACCTTCAGCCTTGCCTTTCCAGGCCTTGTTCTAGGTATGTGGGCCCAGTCCTATGTCAGGTCCTGGAGTCAGCAGGTTAGTGTGGCCTCAGTGGGTGCTCTTTTTACATGCTTGAGCTTTGATGAGAGGCTTCTGTGGGACCGAGTGCTTAAGCCAGGACTGAGTCCTAGGCTGGGGTGGGGAGGGTGGAAGATTGTAGAGTTCCTGGCTCAAAGTCCTTGAACAGGTTGAGAATGGGGATTAGGAATGAATGAGAAACGAGGCCCCAAGAAGCATGTTCCTAGCCACAAAGCAGAGGACAAGCTGGGGCTGGTCCTGCGATGCCTGGGGTTTGGGGACTGCAGAGACGTGCTGTGGGGATGCAGCTGTGAGGTACAGGGCAAGAGGGTGGCAGGTTCTGGAGCTCCACTTTGCCATGGACAGATTGTCTTTAACCGTCCCTTCAGCCTTGGGCCCCAGTGTGGGACAGCCTGGAGTAGCAGCTAGCACTCTGTGTTCAGGGCAGGAATCTAAGGGGCTGAGAACTCTGGGTTCCTGTGTAACTGTCCATCTGTCCATTTGCCCAGCTGCCATTTCCCTGTCCTGCTCCTTGTGCCAGAGGCGCCCCTGGGCCTGACTGAGCCCTGCCCTGGGTAGGATAACCTCGAAGCAGCCTTTCTCTCTAAAGCTGAGAGGGATCTGAGCTGGGAGCTCTGTTTCCCAGAGAGAAGGTTCCGCCAATTTCCCTGAGATTAACTGAGAGCTGAAGGAGTCCCTGAAGGCCCTTGTTCCAGCTTCCCAGCCCTCCCCATCCTGTAACTCTGTGGTACCACCCCTGACCTGTTAACAGCCCATCTAAAGGTGGGGGTGTCTTTTTTTGCTCGAGTGGGATGTATATTCTTCACATCTTCGTTATGAGTCCTTCTGGTTGTAGGGCATAGTGGGCTCCCAGCAGTCTGCCCTCTGGCAATCCCTGGAGACCTGGTGGGGAGGGGAAGGCAGGATGAAGGAAGGGAGAGGGAGGCCCCTCAGCCCTTGAGCTGTTTTTCTTTTTCTTATATATAATTTATTTTTGGCTGCCTTGGGTCTTCGTTGCTGCACGCGGGCTTTCTCTAGTTGCGGCGATTAGGGGCTACTCCTGAGGTGCACCGGCTTCTCAGCGTGTTGGCTTCTCTTGTTGCAGAACCTGGGCTTTAGGCGCACGGGCTTTGGGAGTTGTGGCTTGCGGGCTGTAGAGCGCAGGCTCAGTAGTTGTAGTGCAGGGGCTTAGTTGCTCCGCAGCATGTGGGATCTTCCCGGACCAGGGCTTGAACCCGTGTCCCCTGCGTTGAAAGGTAGATTCTTAACAATTGCACCACCAGGGAAGTCCCTTGAGCTGTTCTCTGAGAAGACTGAAGTCCCTGTGGCCCACCCTGAGGGCCATTCCTGACTGTTCCAGGATTGGCCTGAAGTGCCTCTTTGATGCTGAAATTGCTGTTGCTTCAGAAACCAGTCCTTTGGGGGATTTGTTCTGCAAAGGTGGGGGTGGAGTGGGGAGCATTGTCACAGAACTTCAGGCACCAGCTGCACCAAACCCACTGAGGAAGAGGCCATTGCTTATTTCTGTGTTGCAGATGAGGAAACTGAGGCACAGAGACACGGAGTAACTTTGCCATGCAGCCTGAATTTAAATCATGGTCTTGACCATCACCCTGCTGCCTCTTGGGGGCTGTGCCACTTGGGCCACGATCAAGACTTGGCTGGCACAGGAGGAGGCCTGGGGTTTCAAGGGGGCCTAGTGGTTCCCTATGGACACACCTGTCGCAAGAGGAGGCCCGATGCCATCTCCTCCCGATTCTGATGAAGAATTGTGTGTGGACGAGAGTCTGGCTCACAGGGGACAGCGACCAGAGAGGCTTTCTGCTGGGAAAGGAGCTTTTTCCAGCCGTCTCTGAGCCCCTGAAGTCACTTGCCTCTTCACTCTGCGTTCTCATTGCCCAAGGGTTACAAGGCAGTGCCTGAGTGCTTGCTCTGTCCTGAGCTCTGGGCAGTGCAAGAGACGCAGGTCCGGCCCTCAGTGGACTTTCCATTTCAAGGTTGAGGGGGCAGGTAACAGCTGATTGTGGCCAGGCTAGAAGATGCCCATCGGGGGGGCCCCACTCTGAGATGGGGGGAAGGGAGTGCCCTCCAGGGCAGGGGTTGGCTTAAAGAATGAGGTGGGGCGTTCCTCTTCTGAGAGCCTCTGGGCCCTGGTGCCACATTTGCCTAGAGGGCCCAGCTGAGGCCCATGCTTTGGCTCCACTTAGTTTGGTCATTCATTCATTTAACAAATATAAACTGAACACAGCTGCTCCCTGCCAGGTGCTGGGCTGGATGCTGGGAACACAGCGTTTGGCAAAAACACAGTCACCGCCCTTGTAAGGTGGGGGACATAGATATCAAATGATCCCAGAAGTGAGAAAGGGGATCCTTTTTGAAGATTTTCAGGCCTATCCTGGGATGGGCAGTGGTGGGATGGGGTTGTGCTACGTTGAAAAACGTCCTCTGGAGCTGAGACCCAGGCTGGGGTGTGGATGGGGGGCAGGATTGTTCCAGGCAGAGGGGATGGCCTGGGTTAAAGCAGGCAGGCAGGCAGGCAACAGGCAATGGACTGGGGAGGAAGACAGGGACCGGACCCTGTGTGTACTGGGGTTTTATGAAGTGAAGAGAGTTTTATGAAGAGCCCCAGGAGCCTTTGCTTACCAGCCACTGTTTAAGAGTTTCATCCAGGCCTCCCAGGAAATGTCCTGGGAAATGGGGGCCTCTTGTCATTTCCCCTGGCTGCAGAGGTGTGGCTGGAGCAGCCTCTGCCCAAGGTAGAAGGAGGGTCCCCTTGCTCTTGGCCATGTTTCACATGCTCTGAGTCCACAGCTTCAGGGGGTGGCTGGAGTGGGTAGGGTAGGGCAGGCTTCTCTCCAGGGGCCAGTCTCTCTGGGACAGCTAGGCATTCCAGGGCTCAGACGCTGCCCTTCTGGGAGTGACCTCAGAGTACTCACCTGGGGCTGTTTCTGCCCTGGCCGTTCCTGCATTCCTGAGACCCAAGCCTTGCCTTTCCCTGTACCTCCTGAGGCCTCATATGTGGGCTTCTGGTACCCAGGCTGTTTGCCCTGCCCTTGAGGCCAGGCTTGAGCCTAGGTGGACTTCTTTTGCATTGGGCAGTAGGGAGGGAGGTGAGGCCTGCTCTCAGGGCAGCTCGGCACCTGGGGGGCCTCAAGGTTATGCCCTCCACAGGCCCAACTCTGAGGCCACCCCCAAGTTGGCTAGTCTCTTCATTCCCCGGACTAGCCAACGTCGTTCACTTATCTCTACTTTAGTGTGTATCTCTGACAGATATGGACATATTTCTCTATGTAATCCAATTCCATTATCGCACCTAACTGATCAGCTTTTATTTCTTAATGTCATCTAAGATCCAGTCCCACTCGTTATTTCCCAATTATCCCCTAAATGTCTCTTTTTTAGAGATAGTTAGAAATCCCCTACCCCATTTATTTTTCTTCTTGAAACTGACGTGGTGGAAAAAACGAGGTCAGTTTTCCCATTCTTGGTCTCTTTGTGTGTTAATTTAGAACAGCGGTTGGCAAAGTTTTTCTGTGAAGGGCCAGATAGTAAATATTATAGACTTTGTAGGCTATGTGGCCTCTGTAGCAACTACTCAAAGTAGTTTTGCTTTAGTGCAAAAGCAGTTTTAGGGAATTCCCTGGCGGTCCAGTGGTTAGGACCCAGCACTTCCACTGCCAGGCCCAGGTTCAGTCCCTGGTCTGGGAACTAAGATCCCACAAGTATCATGGCAAGGCAAAACAAACAAACAAATTAAAAAAACAGAAGCAATTTTAGACAACACGTAAACAAATGAGCACGGTTGTGTGCCAGTAAAACTTTACAAAAAACAGTGGCAGCCCCCACAGGCTGTAGTTGGCCCATCCCCTATCTAGAACCACCTCCCTCCTTTATTTTCCTTCTTACAGTTTGGAAAAAAATTAGGTCAGTTGTCCGGTAGAATATCCTGCCTTCTGGGTTTGTCTCCTTGCTTTCTCGTGGAGTCATTTATTCTGCTGGCCTCTTGTGTTTTTGGTAAGCTGAAGTTGGAGTTCTAGGGGCTTGTTAGACGCAGGTTAGACATTTGGGATGGGGCTGCCCTGTTAGTACTGCTGTGACTTGGTGCTGCCTACATCAGTAGGCATCAACGTGTCCAGTTGTCCCACTCTGAGTGAGAGGAGATTGCCTAATGCAAGACTGGCTGATGTCACATCCCTTCATTGCAAACTCGTTCCCTTTAACCCTAGGTCATCTGTCAGTGGCACTTGCGCATATGTGACCATCCATTTCAACCTTTGCCTTACTGGTTTAGCACCCACTGATTAGTGCTGCTCCTAGCATTTGTGTTTTGGGGGTTGCAGAATTATTTAGCAGTTGGTCATTCCTTTGTTAAAGAAGAGCTGTCCTTTAACCACCAGGGCAAGTTGGTTATAGGAAAGGCCAAGAGAGAGGCTGAATTAGTTCTCTATATTGCCAGTTTCCACTAGAGAGTTAGGGCATTGCTACTGTCAGTAGTGACAAATGAGGATTTGGGTTTGTTTGTTTTGCTTCCTCCCATTTTTTGTAATCTCTGTGAATGCTCTGATTTTATGTAATTCCATCTGTTTCCATCAGTTGCACTTATTATTCTTTTTGATGCTGAGATGGTCTCAGCCCAGTCTTTCAGAGGCCTGGCTGCTCACACAGGCTTCCTGGAGGCGCCTCCCACAGTCTCTGCCCTGAGGCTGCCCTTGGGGAGCTGAGCTGGGAGGCCAGCCGGATAGTAATCAAGCCAGAGTCTGAATGGTGGGTTTCAATGGACGGCAACCCCTTCATGGGTATCTGTTCTGTATATGGCCCTGACTGATCACTCGGAGGGAAAACTCTGAAGACATGTTCTATTATGTGAGCCCCCATATTTGCCCCCCTCCAAGCATACTGTTAACTCTGACCTGGACCCACTTGTGCAACGTGAATACTGTGGTCTCTGGATGTAGGATGGTACAGCCTGTGTGTCTGGGATGGGCCAACCTTTGGGTCACCAGCACCAGAGCTAACCCCTGGAAAGTGCCAGTGAAGTCCCCTTCCTTTGCTGGTTGCCTCTTCCCACCAGCCTTAGGTGGGCTGGGCACAAGAGGCTTGTGCTGGTGCTTTGGCACCCAGAAGCTGCAGCTCAGTACATGCTGGCCAGGCCCTGGGTCAGTAGTGTGTCAGGCAAGGGTGAGGGCTCTTGGTGAATGTGGGGAGGGGGTGGAGGAGTCGGGGGGCAGAAGCCCCCTCTGATAGGGGGGTGCAGGTACCACTTGGGCTACTGAGAGCAGCAGGGGTTTGGGTCCTTCCTAAAGGGAACTCTCTGCTCTCCCCTAGCCACAGGCCCATTGGTGACCCTGACCCCTGCCCTCCCCACTCCCCATGCATCAGGCTTCTGCTGGTGTCCCTGGAGCATGGGAAGCTGCTGAGCTTGACCAGTGGTGTCTGGCAGGAGCTGCGTGTCTCACCCTGTGGCAGGGAGGGCATCCATGGCTGCAGCCAACAAAGGTGAGTGCCTGCCTGGTCTGGTGGGGTTTGTAGCATCTTCCAGCGGGCCCCGGTGGGAAGGGGCATTGCTGCATGTGGGGCCTGCATTGGCTGTGAGTGTGTGTGTCTGTCTGTCTGAATGTGAGGTACTAATTACATTACACCAGTGTTTGTTCTGGGGACACCCAAGCCAAACCCGGGGACCCCTGCTGGACCCCTGGGTGAGCATTGAGGCTGCTGAGGTGGGTAGGGCCACAGCAGGTTGTGTGGAAAGGAATTTGGGTTTCATTCAGAGTCCAGAAGTGCTCATAGAAGGTTTTAGGCAAGAGAGGCCTGGTAGGATATATGAGGGTCAAGTCTCGGGGGCTCAGCAGGGAATGTGAAAATGCCAGGCTGGCCCCCTGGCCCTCCACTGAGTGTGCAAGAACCCAGGCAAGGGCTGGCCCAGGCCCTCCCACTGAAAGGACTCTGGGTAGGGCTCTTGGGAGCGCTAGGGGCTGTGGGGGTCAGAGAGGATTGGGGTCATGCTCTTGGCAAGATGGGCCTCTTTCAGCCTTAGCCTCCTCCGGTGCAGGCCCTCAGCCCAGTTCCCACGCTCTGCCTGCCTTAACTCCCTGACTTCCTGGCCTTGGAGAACCTGACCCAGCTGGAGGCAGCCGTGGACCATGTGAGGGGTTAAGCAGAGGAGGGAAATGCGCCTCTGGGAGGGGTCCTGGAGGCTCCCCTGGGTTCTTCCTTCTTACCTGCCAGTGATCAGTGATGAGGTTTAGAGGCAGCTGCGGCCCCTCCTAGGAGGGCTGAGTGTGGTTTTTGACCCTGTTTGTTTCTCCGACTCCCAGGCAGGTCCCATAGAGCCCATTTCTGTCTCTGCCCTTCTCCCCTCTCAAGTTGGGTCAGCAGGAGGGGCAGGCAGGTGGCCTCACGTACTGACAGACTTGGAAGTGGAGAGCCCAGAGATGGGGAGCTTGGCACTGTGAAGGAGAGCATGGGGCAGGGTATCCTGAGGACTGGGGCTGAGTCCTGCACTGCTTGGTGTTTGGAGTCGGGAGGACTGTCTCTTCCCCGTTAGCCCCATTCCCTCTAAGTGAAGGGTCACATTAGCTAATCCCTGAATCCCACCCCCCCAAACCCGCTCTCAGGATAAGTATTTTCTGTGGGAGGACTGAGCAGGTAGGGGCAGGTGGGAGCCTCAAGCCTTTGATCGCCAACTGTCCAGTAGGATGTGGCCTAGCCCAGCAGTGGATGCTGGATGATGTGAAGGGCAGTTGCAGAGGGCGGGGAGGTGACATGGTGGAGTAGTTTACTGGGATAGGTGAAGGCAACAGCCCTGGTAGCCCTCCCCCACTCTCTTTGTAGGCAGTAAGCCCAGAGTCCGGAGTATCCGCTTTGCGACAGGCCATGATGCAGAAGGCTCCCAGAGCCATGTCCACTTTGATGAGAAGCTGCATGACTCTGTGGTCATGGTCACCCAAGAGAGCGACAGCAGCTTTCTGGTCAAGGTATGTGTGCATCTTCCCCACCACCCCGCCCCCATCATGAGCCTCATTCCATCTGTCTTCTCCCTGGCCCTGCCTGGCTTCCTGAGCCTGTTCCATTTCCTCTAAGTTGGCTCCATAGGCACATCTTTGTCCTTCCCTGGGCTTTGGTTTCCCCATCTGTAAAATGGGAAGTGTGAGACTGTGGTAAGATGAGTGCACTGAGGACAGGGGTCCCCAACCCTCAGGCCACGGACCATTACTGGTCCATGGCCTGTTAGGAACCAGGCCACACAGCAGGAGGTGAGCAGCAGGCGAGTGAACGAAGCTTCATCTGTATTTACAGCCGCTCCCCATTGCTCGCATTACCGCCTGAGTTCCACCTCCTGTCAGATCAGTGGTGGCATTAGATTCTCATAGGAGTGGGAACCCTACTGTGAACTGTGCATGCGAGGGATCTAGGTTGCGTGTTCCTTGTGAGAATCTAATGCCTGATGATCTGAGTTGAAGCTGAGGCGGTGATGCTAGTGCTGGGGAGTGGCTGCAAATACAGATTATCATTAGCAGAGAGGTTTGACTGCACAGAGACCATAATAAATCAGTTGCTTGCAGACTCATATCAAAACCCTATCAGTAAGTGGCAAGTGAAAACAAGCTCAGGGCTCCCACTGATTCTTCATTATGGTGAGTTGTATAATTATTTCATTATATATTACAATGTAATAATAATAGAAATAAAGTGCACAATAAATGTAATGCACTGGAATCATCCCGAAACCATACCCACCCCACCCCCACCCCCTGGTCCGTGGGAAAATTGTTTTCCACAAAACCAGCCCCTGGTGCCAAAAAGGTTGGGGACCACTGACTTAGGATGTTGCTTGAATGGGAGTGGAGCTGTTGTTATCATCGGCATCACCCCAACCGTTGCAATTGGAAGGCAGCTGTCAAGGCTGTGGTGTCACAGGCCTTGGTTCAGGTCCAGGCCTGCTATCCTGGCTGTGACCTTGGGCAGGTCACCTCAGTTTCCCTTCTCTGAAGTAGAGACAATTTATACCCCAAAAAGTTGGAAATGGAAGGATGTATGTATGTCACTCAGGTGTAAGGCTAATTATGCTAATAACGAGGTGTGAGTTTCTTTTCTCTGCCAAACCTCTGGCTGATTCAGGCTCTTTGCAGTAGTATTTATCACCCCCATGTTTTTCCCCTCTCCTCCTCTCTTTGTGGCCACATCTCATACACTCTTGGCTCCTCTGCTGCTGGGACACACACAGTTGGATCCCACATCCACTTTGGAGGGGCAGGAGGACGTCTCTGGAGGGGATGGATTGGAGGGAAACAGGGACTGAGGCCCTCAGGTTGGACAATAAATCAGGGCTCCAGAGTTGAGCCCTGGAGGGCATGGTGGTGAGGATGCAGGATGGTGTCTGGTTTATTGATATCACCCTGAGGAGGGGCCCAGAGTCATACCTGTTTGCCCAACTCTAAAACCCTTGCTCTTCCTCCAAGAGCTGACAACTTCCCCAAGAGAATAAATATAATTAACCCAAACTTTCAAAAATAGCTCCCTGCCTCCCATTGCAAAATCCATTCATGTAATTAGAGAAAATTTGGAAGATAGAGAAAACTATAAAGAAATTTAAAAGTACCCGCAATCATACTATCCAGAAATAACTACGGTTAATATTTTGATGTGTGTTATTCCAGTTTCTTTTTTAGCTTTGTTTCCAAAAATGAAAAACTGGTATCACAGTGTACACACTGTGTTTTGCTTGCTTCTGTTGTGAACCATCTCCTGATGGTTTCCACGAGATTTTACAACTGCCTGGTATTCCACTATATGTATCATCATTGATTTAGCTGGTTCCCTATTCCTGGTTTTACAGTTTTATACTGTTATAAATAGAACAGTGATGAGTATTTTTTTTTTTTGCACATCTCTGAGTATTTCCCCTGGAAAATTCTGCAAGTGATACAGCTGGATCACAGGGTCACCATTGGCAGGTACAGCCAGAAAGTCCTCTTGAGAGGTGTGCCCTCTACCAGCAGAGTATGGGGGCCACAGGGACTGAGCTTTATCATGCAGTGACATCACCTGATCTCATTGAAAGGCTAATTGCTCCCCCAAAGGACAGGGCCATCCATTTCCTGAAACTGAACAGGAGTGTGTGTGCATGTGAGCTGTGGATACAGCATGCACCCCTGCACCTCCTGGACTGGCACTCCAGTCAGCCTACCTGTCCAACAGCCACCCTGGCCTGTGACCCTTCACATGACTGGAGTTTCCAAGGATGGCCAAGCTCTGTGTGTGAACAACAGAAATTGCTTGGGCTGTGAATCAGGGCTGTTGGACACAGTGAGCCTTTGAGTGGGCGGGCAGGAATCCATGTTCACGTGCCAGCAGGGTGGTCCGGAGCCCAGGCTCCATGGCTGGTGCCAGTCTTGTGGGCCAGCTTTGGACTGACACAGCTGGTCTAGTGTCTGTTTTTCTAATTCTGTCCCATCCTCCATCTTGTGCTATCTGTGTTGCCTGGTGGCCCCACCATGACTAGAGGACCAGAGTCCCTGGGCTATTGGCTCTGGCCACATGCTGGTAGTGGTGGGAGCAGGTGGATGGCCTGTGTCGTGGGGCTTTGAGCCTCCCCTGTGGGCAGTGGCTGGTGCTTTGCTGTGTACCACGTGTGGCAGCAGTAGCCAAAAGGTCCAGGGAGGACTATACCCTGACCACACTGTGGCCTTCAGCCAGTCATTTCCTAGCTTCCATTTCATCATCTATAAAATGGCCACCAGGGAACTTCTGGGCTCATGAGACAGATGCTGAGGAGTGTGTGGGCCAAGCTGTAGGGATGGGGTCCTTGGAGAAAGGGCCTGGAGCTACCCGGCCAGGGGTGTGGACCAACTGGATTGATGGAGGGAGTCAGGTTCCCCTGGGATTGTCAAGGAAGCAAGTGTAGGGCCCCACAGGATCATCAGTGGCACAACCTGGGTGGGCCCTGGGGGAGACTGTAAGTGAAGGTGCCTCCTTCCCCCACCCCTCCTGCTGCAGGTTGGCTTCCTGAAGATCCTGCACAGGTATGAGATTACCTTCACTCTGCCCCCAGTGCGCAGGCTGAGCAAGGAGGTCCGAGAGGCACCTGTCCCCAGCCTGCACCTCAAGCTCCTCAGCGTCATGCCCATCCCAGAAGGTGCGTACCCTGCTTGGGGTGCTGGAAGCCTGCCCTCCTCCAGCAGGACCTGGGTGTGAGTGGGAGTGAGAGCATGGGGTACTTCCTTCCCACATCTAGGGCTGATGGGCAGCTTAGCAATCAGGGGGCATGATGCCTCTTTATGGTCTTGCAGTGTGGCACCTTGGCAGGTCCCATGCCCCAGGCCCCACTCCCTGGACAGAAGTCCATGGGCTCACACAGTTGGCCTATGTCTGCTCATTGCCTGATAGTTACCTTAATGGGACAGTGGGAGCCACTGAGGAACTGGCTCTGGGCCTCTAGCCCTCCCTCTGCCTGTACCTCAGGAAAAAGCTACTGGAACCTCAGGGACTCTGGGCAGCTACTTCCCATCACCCGCCAAACCTGGGCTTGGGCTTGGGGCTGCTTCTCTATACCCTGCCAGCTTTAGTGCCTCCCCTTCTCCCAAAGGCTAGGGTATCAGTTTCACCAGCCCCAGCTTCATTTTCATTTCCCTCTACCTCCACCTAATGACCTCACCCTCAAGTGGATTGAGCAAGCCCCCTCAGGCCTCTTGCCACCAGATCTGCTCAAGCCCTGCCCTGCCCTCCTTTCCCCTCCCCATCACCCTCTCTCCTTGCTTGCCTTTTGGGGAATCCCACCTCTTGGAAGCCTGAGTTTGACCTCTGGCCTGCAGGCAGAGGCATGTAGAGCTCAATGAAGAATGGGAAGTTCCTGAGACCCATGCGCCCAGCCCTGGGGGTAGGGTCCTGGGCCATCCTTGCTCCTCTGGAGGTCTTGGTGGTGGGTGGGGGCCAGTGAGTGCTGGGGGGTGGAGGCGGGAGGCCACAGAGGTGCTGATCGCCCGGGCAGGTTACAGCATCAAGTGTGAGTACTCAGCGCACAAGGAGGGTGTCCTCAAGGAGGAGATGCTGCTAGCCTGCGAAGGTGGCACCGGAACCTGCGTGCGCGTGATGGTGCAGGCGCGCGTAATGGGTGAGAGCTCGAGGCCCGCGTCTGCCTAGAGGAGGGAGGCACCAACTTGGCTGCAAGGAGTTTCCACCCTCCTTGAGTCTGACAAAGGGATCCTTGTCCCGGCCCATCCCCAACCTCCTTGGTGGGTGCCTTTCTCCCCATCCCCTAGCAGAGCCGGGAGGGAAGGTAGAGGAGTCCCCTTGGAGTGGGTGGGGCCAGGGTCCAGCCTGGCATACTGACTTGTCACCTGCCTTGCAGACCGACACCATGGCACACCCATGCTGCTAGATGGTGTCAAGTGCGTGGGTGCTGAGCTAGAATACGACTCAGAGCACAGTGACTGGCACGGCTTCGACTGAGGCCCTCGCCCCCACCTGCCTCGGGGCCTCTCAGCCTTAAACCCCACCTCGTCTCCTCAAATGCTGCGTGATGGTGTGGCTTCCTCACCCTTCCCAGGGATGGGCATGGAGGTGGGGGTCCAAGGGCCTCCAAGCTGGAGCCTCGCCCACACCTCTCACCTCATTTGTGCCACCTCCCTGCCTCTCCAGCATCCTCCTCTCCCACTTCCTCCTCTGTGTGCCTCAGTCTCCTGCTGGAAGAAATGGGCTGAGCCCCCAAGGAGGCTCTCTGAGGAGGGATGGAGAGGGCCTGGGGTGGGTTCTACCCACCCCCCTACCCCAAGCCATAGGGGCTGTAGCCAGGGCCTAGGAGAGGAGGGAGCTGGCTCTGTGATGTAGCTGTCCCCATTACTGCTGCTGTCGTCTTGCTTTAGCCACCTCTCCTGTCCCCTCCCTCTTTCCCACTGCCGTCCATGGTGAGGAGGAGGGAGGTGCAGTTCCCAATCCCTACCCCCCCAGGTCTGTGTTACTTGGTTTTTAAACAACTGGTTGGGATAAAACCCTAAAGAAATAAAACTTCTAGTGGATACCAGAGGCCAGCAGGATTTTTGTTCTCCAGGGCCCTGAGAATGCCCAATCCTTTACAGAAGGGCCAAGGAACAGTTTTGGCTCAACTCATTGTTTTTGGAGGCAAGGTCACTTTGTGGTATTACAGCACCTGGCCCCAAAAGAAGTATGCACAGGGGGTGACATTTTAGGCCTGGGAATAGTTGCCAAGACAGTTAGAGTTTGGATGGGGAGGGGCCTTCTGCCCAGGTCAGAGAGAGGTCTTGTGGAATGGGGCGTTCAGTTTGGGAGGCTTGACCCAGAGACAGCAGCACCCCCTTCTGGTCAGTTCCCAGCCCCAGGCACAGCTGAAAACCTCCCTTTGCAGATCCCAGCCCCTCTCCACTACTCCACTATTAGGGTCCCCTCTTGTGAAGTACCAGGAGGCTCTAGCTTCACCTTGAGCATAAATGCTTTATTGTCACCTTAGGGTTCTCAGGCAGGTGGAGCTGTTGCATATCATGGGAGGGCAGGTACACTGAGCTGATGGCAGAGCTGCAACTAGTGCTCCCTCTGTCCTCCCTACCCTCCCCCCACTCTGTGGCTCGATGGAGTGCAAGTGGGTTATTCGTAGGCTGCCCCTGGGGCCTTCTCAGATAGAAAGGAAAGGCCCCCCCCACATGTGCCCCCACATCCCCCTCATAAGTGCCTCGCCCTGTACCCTTCTCATAGTCTGTTACTGCTCTTTCTACAATTAACATTCATACTTGGGTGGTCAGTACCACACCCAGGACCCTTTCCTGTCAGTTTCCAGTCCTTGTCCTGTCTGGCTCCCTAAACAGGCTGAGTCAGTCAGTCAGTGCACTCTGCCCTTCAGGCCCAGGCCCTGCACAACCTCCTTCCTCTTGCTGCCCCACCTGTAGCTGCACCCCCACCCCCCCACTCCCATCCCGGACCCCAGTTCAGACCAGGGCTCAAGTCTTCTGGTGCATTCTGCTTTCAGGATCATGTGCTCCCTGTGGGCACGCCGTCTTACAAACCTCTTTTAAGTCTCCTTGACCTCAGTCCTTGGCAGGGCCCTTCAGCCTTCCAGTCAGCGGACCGGGGCCCAATCCCAAAGCCAGAGTTTCTGGATATGTCCCCACCCATCCTCCTGTGACCTCCCCTCCCCTCACCTCCTGGGGCAGGATGGTGGGGAATGGGGCCGGTTGGTCCGCCTCAGCCCGCTCCCCAGGCCCTGGGCCAAAAGAGAGTTCAGCGGGGCCGACGGGGGCTGGCACTGCGCCCTCAATTGGAAAGAAAGTCGATGGCGGCGCGCACGGAGCGATTGGTGCTGACGTCGACGGCAGTGACCTTAATCTCGGTGTCGCCAAACTGCATGGCAGTGCGGATCTCGCGGCGGCTAGGGGGCGCGCCGGCGGCATGGGGGCCTCCCTCGGCGGGCTCGAGCTCTAGACTGAGCGCGCCGCACTTGCGCACGCCTGGGTCGGTGATGAAGCGCGCGTCCTCGGCGGCGCAGCAGTACAGGTTGATAAGCACGCGCCGCTGGCCTGGGCGCGCTGGGCAGTAGCTGCGCAGCACCTCCTCGCCCAGGGCCACCGACTGCTCGGCGGCCACGAAGCGCTCGAACACGTCGGTGCACCAGCGGCGGCCGTCGCGAACCAGCAGCTTGTCGGGCGGGGGGCGCCCAGCCACAAAGCGGTTGAGCACGCCCACGCCGTAGGTGAGCGGCGAGCGGCGCACCCGAACCACGCCCGGAGCCTGCCCGAAGAGCACCGCGCCCTTTAGGATGGTGAGGCCCACGTCGTGCGGAACCACCACGCGGAGGCCGCGGGCACCCAGTGCTCCCTGCACCGCGTGCTGCAGCACGGCAGACTCTGCGAAGCCGCCCACCAGGAACAGCAGCTTCACGCCCTGCACTTCGGGGCGTGCCAGCAGCGCCTCTGCGGTACAGGAGTGAAGGGTGGGGGTAAGGAGGAGGGACGGGGAGTGGGCCACTGAGGCCACCACTGAGCAGCCACTGGTGCCTCTCCTCTGCCTGCCTGTATCCTCGGGCAACCAGAAACTAGTCATTTCACTATAAAACGGTAGCCTGGTTCTCATAAAGAAAAACACCGGGCACTTTCATGAGGGCCCCTGGCAATCTTTATGGGCTCTGCTTCCCCACCACACTGTGGAGGGCTTAAGATAAGGGTCTGCATTTACACATATTAAATGCCTACTACGTGCAAGACATCGCACTCACTCTCTAGATACTTCAGCTCATTTAAATCCCTGTGATAACAGTTTGGGGGACCTAATACTATCACCCATTTGGGGAAACAGGCACCAGAGGTTCTTTAACCTGGCAAGACTGCACATTTTCCTGCCTATCTTAATCCCCACCACACTGCATCCTCCAGGTATTCCAGATGATTCTGGGTCTCATTCCAGTGTATGGATATGGGGAGGTTTCCAGGCACTAACAGGGTAACATATTCCCGCATCTGGGTGTGTATGTTGAGGTGAATGAAGGACCCAGGCTCAGGTGCTCACCTATGTGCTGGATGATCCCGCTGACCGTGGGCTGAAAGAGGTCGTTCATGGCCTCACAAGACATCCTGAGCATCCCCTGTGAGGACCACTTCACGAAGTTCACGCTGTAGGTGTTGGAAGGAGGCACAGGCCCATGGGTCAGGGTCCCGGGTGCCACCCCTATTCCAGGCTGAAGTACCTGGGCACTGACGGCACATTATGTGTTGTGCCAGGCATACTTTCAGGGCTTTAGACGCAGGTCTGTTCCAGGTCCAGGCATGAGGTCCCAGGAGAGGAGCCTCCCTTTGCCTCGAGCAGAGGAACCCAGACCCATTGGCTAGCGTGCGTGTGTGTGTGTGTGTCTGTCTGTCTGTCTGTCTGCAGGGAATGGGAAGAGGTAGATGTTGGCCTTTCCCCAGGCTCAAGATTCTCGCCCCAGTTTGGGCTGCTGATTCCAGCTGGGGTACTCATGCCCCTCCCCCTGCCTCCACCGGGGCTGGCATGATGTGTGCGTGGGACAGATAAGGTGGAGCCCCTACTCCCCCCTGGGGCCCACACCTTCCCCTGTAGGTGCGGTCCCCCGGCCCACCTGCTCCTGCGCAGGGCTGTCTCCACGTTGTGGCCTCGCTGCTTGCGGTAGAAGTCAATAAACGAGAAGGGCAGCGAGATGTTGAGCGCTCCCGAACGGTGTGGGCCTGCGGTACGTTTGCGGGCCTCGAAGGCTATAGTCAGATCCACCCAGGCTGCTGGGCGTTGCCTTTTGAAGGTGGCGATGAAGTCCTCGCCGAAGATGCGGCCCAACAGCTGCTCGAAGGCCAGGTCCACGCCCACCGCGCCACAGGGGCCACCTTGGGTAGGGCAGGGGAGGAAGGGGGCGTCAGTGCCGACTCCGCCGCCAGGGGGCGTTGGCGGGCCAGGGCGGTCTGGGTACCAAGGGCGCTGCCTGGCTACTCACCAGATGCCTTGTAGAGCTCCTTGAGGGTGCCATGGGGCTGCTCCAACTGGTGCACGGTAAGGTCCACCGTGCCTCCCCCGCAGTCTGCCACCACGTAGCGGTCTCCTACGGGGGCGAGCGTGAGCACACACTCGTGGCACCTTCAGCTCTGCGCCCTCTGCAGACTCACCCAGCCTCCAGCCCTGCCCCAGGTCCTGAGCCCTGTCTGCGGGTCCATGGGGGTTAGGGTTGAAAGGGGCTTCAGGTGCTTGAGGGTCACCAGGTAGGAGCACAAGGTGTGGGGGAAAATGGTCCCAGGATTCTGCAACTCCATCTGCAGAGAACCCCCCAGGGGAGTTGGGGGTTAGGGGCATGGCTGTGAGTGGGGGTGGGAGTGCAGGTGACTGAGGGGAACTACCAGGTTAGGTACAGCTGAAAGAGTTGGAAGGGGCAGGGTTCCTAGGGGCTAGAGCTGACTTCGGGAATGTTCCCCCCACCTTCAGTATACGGTGCCCCACAGGGCCCAAGGAATATCCCTCCATCTCCCCTCCCCCACCTGCTTGCATCTCAGCCCACAGTTCTCCGACACCCGACTCCACCAGGAACGTGCGGCTGTGGCGGGACCTTCGAAGCTGCTCTCGGGCTGGGTGTTGAGGGACAGCAGGACAGTGAGGTTAGAAGGGGTGTCTCAGCTACCACGCTCAATGCCCCGCGTCCTTCCACCAACGCCCTCCATGAGCATCTGGAGCAGCCAGTGCTCCTGAAACTCCTGCTCCACTCCTAACTGGGAGAGGGCAATGCTGAACCCCAAAGGGTCCAGAGAAACTGAATGGGGTAATCTTAGGCACTGTAACCAACAGCTAAGGGGGAGTATTTCTGGCTGCAGGACCTTCCCTTAATCCAGAAGGGCTCAGGCCATGGCAAAATCAGAATTAAGAAGGTCTGAAGGAGCTGGGGATGGGGTGGGGGGAGGTCCTGGGACCTCTCCCTGTCATGGGAGATGGCATCTGAGGGGATGATGAAGGTTGACCATAGCTGTCCCAGTTCCTGGTCCTGGCAGCAGGAGCTTGGGGCTGATGGGGGAGTGGGGAGGACAGCTGATGTGCCAGGAGGGGAGGGAAAACTGATTCAGTGGCTGTTTAAGGGGCAGCTCCTGAAGACCTCCACCTTCAGCTCAGGGTACCCTTTGTCAGTACCTAAGCACCTCTCCCCAGGGTAGGCATCGCTCTCCCACTCTCAGATTCAGGGCTGGGCTGAGTCCTACCGTCCTCTGACAGTGCTACTCTAGGGCAAGGTGTAATCTTCAGCGCCTGCCTCCAAGGCCACCACTGGGCAGTACCCCTGGGGGTGGCTCACCCTGACGGAAGCTGGAATCAATGGAGCGGCGCTCGCCCAGGCGCCCACTGCCTGGAGCTCGGCTGCTCAGGTCCACGAGCTGGTGCAGACGCAGCTTGCGGCAGTAGACAGAGGCGGCCTCAGGCTCCAGGGCGATGAGTAATTGCTCTGCATCCTCTCTCGACACCAGTCCGGCCTGAGGATGGGTGGTTGGCAGGGTTGGGGAGCATCATGGGCCAAACATCACACTGAAATGGCACCTCAGGGCAGGCAACCGGGGGCCTGTGGGGCTCCCATCTCCTCTGGATTATACCCCACCCATGCTAAGCTTCTCAGGCCCCTCCATGCTGCACAAATTTGGAGCTGTCTCACAGCCACCCTGTGACTAGGCTGGGGAGGGGCATGGCCATGGCCAAGGATGCCATGGTGTTGCCCAGCAGGAAGAGACCCTAGACTGAGTGAAAACCTAGAGCACCTGGGATCTGCCTCCAGGCTGCCCAAGGTGTCCCTGGGCTGCAGCAAGGTCCCCTTCACAGATGCTGGTTTGGCCAGCTAAGCACTGGCTGAGGGGGTTAGTGGAGACTCCAACACAGTGTATTGGGGAGGGTGGGTATAATGGCCAGACCATCAGTCAGAGGGGTGGGGGGCCCCTTTTGGCTTACTGAACCCTCTTTCTCCACTGGTGATAGACAGTGGCTATGGGCCTCCCCACTCTTAGGAGAACTTTGTTCTCAGGGAATCTGATATAGGAGGAAAGAAACTTTAACTGAAATTTCAGGCGCCAAGGCAAGGCAGTATGACCAGGTGGGGGATGGGGATGGGTGGGTATTGAAACTCCAGCCTGTTCTCAGCTGACACTCAGGGAACAGTGTGGGAGGAAGCAGGGTGGGTAAACCAGCAGGGGGCCACTGGTGTAGGAGGTGTTTCTTCTGGCTGGGCACAGCCATGCTTTCATCCTGGTCTCTGCAGGGGGATGCCCACTGGCCTCAGGGTTAGCTCCTTCTAGAGACAAGTGTAGGCACCTGCGGATTTGACAGCTGTGGCATGCCTGGCCCAAAGTTGTGTTTGTGGGGGGTTGGGGGTCCTGGTATCTTCCATGGGAAGGTGTACTGGAATTCCTGAGATCCCTTTTGGGGATCCTAGGGTGTCCACCAAGGCCTCAGGTTCATAGGCAGGATCAAACAATAAGCCCCCCTCCAACCTCCCCATTTCCACTTGAGAGGGGGGTGCCTGAGCCGTCCCCCTTTCTCCAGACCTTTGGGCACCTCTTATGGTAGGAAGACCAGCAAACATTGGCCAAACTCGCCTCCCTTCATAGTTTCATAGTCCTATTTCCCCTGCTCAGTGGTTGGGGCTGTGGTGAAAATACTGATGCTGGCTGAAGTGGGTGTTCTTGGTGTCCTGCCCAGCTACTGTGAGTGTTGGCTGCTATTGGCTCACCGCTGCCCCTTTTCTGAAGAACTGCCCTCAGCTGAATGGGAACCGCCTCACTTGGAGGGGCTTTCCCCAACTTCCCCCAGTAACCAATGACAGACTGATAAGGATGGACAAAAAGCCACCCCCCGCCGCCTCCCTGTGGCCAACACCACAGTACATTCTCCCTCTAGAGCTCTCCATGGGATCAGGCTGAGGCTAGACTCCAGCTAAGACCACATCCTTGCTCAACTCTTTCTTGTGTCCTGCTTTCCTCACTCCCCTTTCTCCTGAGAGTCCTTGCAATAGACCACATGCACCAGAATCCCCATCTTGGGCTCTGCTTCTAGGAAACCTGCCCTAAGACACTGTTTAAACTGGCCTGGGCTGTGTCTTTTGTCCCTCTGCTCTCTGGTCCTGGTGGCCCACCCCCTTTCCTGGTGGCAACAACCCTCCAAAATGGCCAGCAGGGTGGGGCTGGCAGTCTTTACACAATGGCTCTGTGGTCCCAAGGATGGTGGGTGAATGAGGGTATGGGCCCTGCCCGGGGCCCTCCCAACCAACGTCCACAGCTCTGAGTGCACACTCTCACCAAGTAGGCAGCCTCTCGCATGAACTGCTTAGCTGGCTGTTTCCAGATGGCCGGCACTGTCAACACCCAGCGCACAGTGTCCTTCTCTGGCAGCGATGGGCACTGGTCCCTCAGCTCCTGGAGCAGGAGGGGGCAGTGAGGGGAATGGCTGGCTTGGTTTGCGGGGAGTGTCTTTAGCCTCTGGGAGCTGGAGGAACTAATCAGGCCTCAGGAGGAACTTCCCAGCTAACTTGGAATCCTAACACCCCCTTCCCCACTACCACCACCTCCCCAACACCTGTAGGGTTGATGCAGGCTCTACCAGATAGAAAGGCAGGGGACTGGAGAAGATGACCTCTGTCTTCTACCCATTGGATGGACAGGGGATGGGCTGAGGGGAAAGGATGGACCTGGGGGCCCTCCACCCCAGTAGGCAGGGATGGGGCCACAGCGCACCTGAAGGGCATGCTCCTTGAAGAAGCGCAAGGCATGGGCGAACACCTCCAGGGCAGGCATTTTCTTTCCATTTACCGCTTCTAGCTGGGTCTTCAAGGTGAGATCCTGGCAGGGACACAAGGTGACTCTGCAGGAGGCCGTAGCTCTGCCTCCATTTCCTGACAGCCTCTTATACTCACCCCATTTCCTGGTGCTCCTCCTCTTTGGCACTGTCCCACTGTGGCTCTAATCTCACATTAGTTCTCTCCCCAGCCCTTCTCTTTACCCTATCTTCACCCCTTGGTCATGCCTCCATCCCTTACATTCAAGCTCCGCCTCCTTAGCTACTCCTCCACCAGTCCCCTCCTCACCTTTTAGCTTTACCTACCCTCCATGAGGCCTCCCTCTCCGTTTTTCCTCCTAGCCCTGCCTCCCTGGCTGGAGCTGGGCCCTGAGCCAGAGTGTGACTCACAGTGGCACTGTGGATCTTCATCTTGAACTTCTCAAAGTAGAGCCAGTCACGAGCCTCCTCAGGGTCCAGATCGTGGTAGTAATCACGGGCTGTATAGCCAAAACTGTGAAAGGCACCCTCTGGGGTCAGCAGCAGGCAGGTGGGGGTCTTCTGGTGGGCCACACCTGGGTCCCCGCCCTCCCATTTCCTGTGGAGGCAGATAGCTGTCAGTGTGGTCAGCAGTAATCCTCCCTTTCTGGGGTTGGATGCTGGCTCTGGAACCAGCTGTGTGACTTTGGGCAGCTCACTTGGCTTCCCCAAGCCTCAGTCTTTCCATATGTAAAATGGGAATGATAATAGTACCTACCTTTTAGGGTTCTTGTGAATATGGTGCTTGGCATCCACTTAAATCTCCATAAACGTTGCTCATGGGATCCACTCTATCCATGGGGCCACGGGTCCCATCCGACATCTTCAGCTTCTGATCCCTTCCATGAAGTATACCATTGGACCTCACCTCCCTTTTTTTTTTTTTTTTTTT